TTGAAAGCTTGACAAAAAAACAAGATATTAAGGTGTAACATACAGTGATAATACTATGGTTCTGTTTGGTTTGTGTAGAAGTTGAAAGCTTGACAAACTTAATATCTTGTTTGTGTAACAGCAGTGGTAATACTATTGTTCTGTTTGGTTTGTGTAGACGTTGAAAGCTTGACAAACTTAATATCTTGTTTGTGTAACAGACAGTAATAATACTATTGTTCTATTTGGTTTATGTAGATGTTGAAAGCTTGACCTCTGGCTACGCTTCATCATTTGTAGAGAGGGCTGCCAATAAGTATGTAAACCTGTACATTAGTTTAACTTGTAAGTAGTTAAGTCAACCTTTGATGGCATAAACTATAAACCCACCAAGTAAAAACAATGCTTAATCATAAAAACGTTAGATGCAGCTGATATACCAAAGATTTAGTAATAATTAATATTCTTGAAAGGTTTGATACTACTGAGGTTAAAATACTTGAAAGGTGTAGTAATTTTTAAAATAATGTGGATTTTCCTGAGCTAAAAATAATCGGAAGATATAGTAATTATTAACTTAATAATTACTTTAAGATTTGGTAATTACTGAGATAGAAATAAAAGAAATGTGTTTTAACTATTGAGATACAATTTGTAGCAGATGATTTTACTAAAGTAAATATACGTAAAGGAACAATATTAACATATGTGAATTTTGCCGTTCTGTTTTTATTTTTTGTCAGCATCGTTCATTTGTATTTCTTCCTAAAAATCTTTTGTTTAAAACTACATTATGCTTCATATTTAGCTTAAGTTTTACAAGATAGTTTTAATATGTAGTTAGTGTAGAAAAACATTTATTGAACTTAAATTTTACTACTGCAGAGTTACTAAACTTATGACATTCTTTGAAACTAACAGGCCTAAACGATATTTGCGAGATATAATGAAAGGTGCACCAGTTGAAGCTGTAGCTTTCTCGAGTAAACTGTTGTCACTTAACCCCAGAAAAAGATTGAGTGCAGAACAGGCTTTAAAAGATCCTTATCTAAGAAGGTGGGTATCATGGTTCTTCAGGTGTTTCTCTAGATTAAATATTAGGCAAAATTAAGTGTATATCAGGGTATAAAGGTTCAGGTATTTCTCTAAGCTACGTATTTGATATAATTAGGTAGATATAGGGGTATAAAGTTACCTCACCTTAAGGCTGGCCCTGAACATTGAGGAGGGTGAGGATGCAGGAGGCTGAGGGTCATTATCTGGAGAAAATAGTTCAGAATGTTACCATAAAACTTTTATCTAGTAAATACATTCAGAGCATCATGTGCTTGGCAAAAAAAGCAAAATGCTACATAACTCTATTGGACTTTTGTTTGTATGATTCACCAAAGTAGGTTCTGATAAAGTCGAAATTAGAGAACACTTTATAAGATTCTTTGAAACAAAAGCTACAGTGGATGATGGTATGCCAGAGATGCTGCTTGAGGTCATTAAGGGCAAAGTCATGACAGTGGAGAAAGTATGAAAGGGAAGATTATAGGAGTTAGTTTAGAGGTCAGAATACTAAATGTTTGAAATCCCTTGAAGTTGTATTATTTTTTTTGAGTTGATTCAAAGAGTGTTTGTCTTTTTGTGTGGGATGTTCTTGGGAAGTATGTAACTACATTAACTGTATATGTTATGTGCCAACGATTTACAGACGTGTAGAATGCCTTATCAGCCCTAGTTGAAGACATAACACTCATTGGATCTCATAAGTATAACAAGTGTGGAATCAAGCATTTCAAAGCTAATCTCTGAAGCTTTATATTCTTGTGTTATGTCATGATTTTACACAATATACTTTTTAAAACTAAATATACAGAGTCCCCCATCTAGATTTATTGTTTGATTCCTGTTATAGATAAAAATCATATTGTTTCTAGATAATAGTAGGTCTTATTTAGGACTTGCAAATGCCTGGACAAATGCAAAAACACTTGCAATACAATACTTAACATTGCTATTCAGCCTCTGCAAGAAATATTCATTTAATTAAAACATTACAGTGATTTATTTACATTCCTATATGGGATATAAAGATTAGAAAATTGAGAGATTAGATTACATCAGAAAGTCCTGCAAGAATCTTGGTATTGTCTTTTAATACAGCTGTCAATGTCAGTTGTGTAGTGTTAACTAGAATTATTTGATGAACTTGAAACACTGTTCGTATTCATCTTCCAAAAAATGACCCCTGTTCACGAAATGGAGTGTCTAATGGGGAACGAGATCGTATTTATTCCCAATTCTGTACATTGCACTAAGAGTTCTTCTGGCATTGCCAGTTATGGTTTTTAGTGTATAACACACTTTTCTCAAAACTGGGATCTATGTTTACATGGTTATTTAGTGGTTTTCTATCATATTGAATGAGCATAAGATCACTAAATCATTGAACTTGGAAGAGCCAGTTTGAGGTTTTAACTTCATTCAAAGCCTGAAAAGTGTGTTTTTAAATGAACATTATATCTGATTTTGTTTCTGTTGTGTAAACTCAACATTCCAAGTGTTTGATTTGTAGTGGAAGATTCAAATCTGGAAGTTCAAAGTTGTTTGGCATATAATAATAAATATACCATGTAAATTAGTACATCTTGTTTTAATGCCACATCATTTAGTTGTAGCCTACACAAACACAATAACACATATAATAATAAATGTACCATGTAAATTAGTACATCTTGTTTTAATGCCACATCATTTAGTTGTAGCCTACACAAACACAATAATACATATAATAATAAATGTACCATGTAAATTAGTACATCTTGTTTTAATGCCACATCATTTAGTTGTAGCCTACACAAACACATTAATACATATAATAATAAATGTACCGTGTAAATTAGTACATCTTGTTTTAATGCCACATCATTTAGTTGTAGCCTACACAAACACATTAATACATATAATAATAAATGTACTATGTAAATTAGTACATCTTGTTTTAATGCCACATTATTTAGTTGTAGCCTACACAAACACATTAATACATATAATAAATGTACCATGTAAATTAGTACATCTTGTTTTAATGTCACATCATTTAGTTGTAGCCTACACAAATATAATAATACATATAATAATAAATGTACCATGTAAATTAGTACATCTTGTTTTAATGTCACATCATTTAGTTGTAGCCTACACAAATACAATAATACATATAATAATAAATGTACCATGTAAATTAGTACATCATTTAGTTGTAGCCTACACAAACCTAATAATATATATAATAATAAATGCCACATTATTTAGTTGTAGCCTACACAAACACATTAATACATATAATAATAAATGTACCATGTAAATTAGTACATCTTGTTTTAATGCCACATCATTTAGTTGTAGCCTACACAAACACATTAATACATATAATAATAAATGTACCATGTAAATTAGTACATCTTGTTTTAATGCCACATCATTTAGTTGTAGCCTACACAAACCCAATAATACATATAATAATAAATATACCATGTAAATTAGTACATCATTTAGTTGTAGCCTACACAAATACAATAATACATATAATAATAAATGTACCATGTAAATTAGTACATCTTGTTTTAATGCCACATCATTTAGTTGTAGCCTACACAAACCCAATAATACATATTATAATAAATGTACCATGTAAATTAGTACATCATTTAGTTGTAGCTTACACAAACCCAGTAATACATTTTAAAATTTTGTGTAGAGTAGCAAAATCCTTGAGTGTGACTAGAGAAGTGACATCAATATTATCTGTTGAGATATTACTATCTATATATATATAACTGGAAGACTTTTACTGGATTATAATTATTACAGTCATAATAAAAACTGCTCTTCATTCTTTCTGTTATGTGAAAGTGTATCTGAATTTTGACATTTTCTAGTAAACCATTTTAAATCTAGTTCTGAATTCACTATGGTATTTTTCATCCAGGTTCCACATGTCGACTGAAGAGCCAAGTTTGGATGAGCCAGTTGCACCTCCTTGTAATGATCACATTCAGCTGTCTGTGGAAGAATACAGAGAGAAAGTTTACCAGGTATGTGCAGTTTGTTGAGTAAAACTTAATTCTTTATCTGTCACAGTCTTAAAGATTGGGTATGTTTATGACAGTCTTTACATTAACTCTCTTGCCATGAGCTTGGTTGATGTGATTGACCGTCTTACCCTAAAGTTACCTTGAGAGTTTATGTACTATAACTTTGAATATGTTTTGTATACCTTCACGACATTTGGCAAGCTTTCAGTAAACATTACAAGTCTTTCGTAAACAACAAATCAGATATTTTAAGTATTTTTTACTAAAACTTTTTCCGTGAATATGTGGAGTCAGAATGTTGACTGTTCCAAGTGTAAACTTTCACGTTAAGATTAAAAGTACTTTTCTTCATTTGAAAATTATCAAATTTCATTTGTGTAATTTCTAAAACTTTCTAAATAAAAATCAAAGATTTTTTCAGTAAAATTTTATATTTCTCTGTTAGTTTCTTTACCCTAACTCTATACACATTTGGATCGACTTGGCTGTCTTTGTGACCACCATAAAAAGATACAAAATATGTCCAAGTTACTGTTTTTTTCTTTCTAGAGTGACTGAAATTTGTAACATGAAACTACAATTGTTTATCTTAAGTAGCTTAAAGCTCATAACAATATACATCTGTTTATATTTAATTTTATTGTTTTATTACCCTTTGACCCTTGTCGAACTAATAGCCTTGCTACACAACTTTTAAATGACTTGGTGATGGCATAGTTCGATTACAGTATTAAATAACGTAATGTATGAGCTACTCGTGAGCATACCTCGTGAAGAATTTTTATTATTTTTCTTTTTTTATCTTACCTAATCTAACTATAAAGTTTCTAATTGTTACATTTTAGTTACTTTTATAACCGTAAATAAAGAATAAAAATGAAAAACAAGAAATGTAGTAATTACCTTTGATCACTTGTTTTTTTTGTTGGATGCTAAGCCTATTTTTTTATAATGATGGAACTATCACACTAAATAATTGTTATTTACTTAAAAATAGTTCACCTAGGAACACAGAAGATAACACACACAAAGCAAACAATGTTCTATAACTATTATAATTTATCTGGCTTTCTAACTATGGAATAAAAGCTTGTTGATCTGAATATCAGGAGTGAAATTATCAAACTGAAGAGGAAACAGACAGTACTATGTACAGCAGACAACATAATATAATACATCATTGGAAAGATTAAAACTTTCTTTTGTTATAAGTAATATAGTATAAAAAATATTGGCAAATTGTGAAAGAGAGGATGTGACAGATGGGTGTGGCAAATGGTTTTCTAGTTTATGACTCCGTAAAGAAATAAGATCGAAGGCTGTAAAATTATATGAGGGGGGGGGAATGAGGATTTTAAAAAATATTTCCTTATAAACTTAAGAACTTAAAACTTGTATAATATAAAAATTTGATTTATTAACTACTTTTTGATGCCAAGTTTATTTGTATACAATGATAATAAAATAGTTTGATTAAATATTTGAATGCAACTCTTTAAAATGCCATGATGTGCACTTTGACCTGCCCATAATGAGAGGGTTAATAGGACTAACATGTTGGTTGTAATAAATATATTGCTCTTAAGCTTCTTGTGTTTCACAAATTAGATGATAACTATTTCAGGTCTTCTTGTCTAGATGTATTGAATATTCACTGTATATGAAAGAAGGGGTAGCTTTACTGAACAGATGGTAAACAGGTTTATGTTTACAACATGTAATTCACTGTACCTGTTCTGAGAGTATACTGATATACACTGATGTTTCAGCACTTGAAGTGTGGATCTGGTGTTGATGCTTTCTGAAGCTTGTATGTTACCATTGTGGTAGTTGTTTGTTACATGAAGTGTGGATCTGGTGTTGATCCTTTCTATAGCTGTTATATTACCATTTTGGTAGTTGTTTGTTACATGAACAGTGGACTGGTGTTGATGCTTTCTGAAGCCTGCATGTTACCATTGTGGTAGTTGTTTGTTACATGAACAGTGGACTGGTGTTGATCCTTACTAAAGCTGTAATGTTACCATTGTGGTAGTTGTTTGTTACATGAAGAGTGGACTGGTGTTGATCCTTTCTATAGCTGTTATATTACCATTTTGGTAGTTGTTTGTTACATGAACAGTGGACTGGTGTTGATCCTTACTAAATCTGTTATGTTACCATTTTGATAGTTGTTTGTTACGTGAAGAGTGGGCTGGTGTTGATCCTTTCTATAGCTGTTATATTACCATTTTGGTAGTTGTTTGTTACGTGAAGAATGGACTGGTGTTGATCCTTTCTGTAGATGTTATATTACCATTTTGGTAGTTGTTTGTTACATGAACAGTGGACTGGTGTTGATCCTTTCTGTAGCTGTTATATTACCATTTTGGTAGTTGTTTGTTACATGAAGTGTGGACTGGTGTTGATCCTTTCTAAAGCTGTTATCATTGTGGTAGTTGTTTGTTACATGAACAGTGGACTGGTGTTGATCCTTACTAAAGCTGTTATATTACCATTTTGGTAGTTGTTTGTTACATGAAGAGTGGACTGGTGTTGATCCTTTCTAAAGCTGTTTCCATTGTGGTAGTTGTTTGTTACATGAACAGTGGACTGGTGTTGATCCTTTCTAAAGCTGTTATGTTACCATTGTGGTAGTTGTTTGTTACATGAAGTGTGGACTGGTGTTGATCCTTTCTATAGCTGTTATATTACCATTTTGGTAGTTGTTTGTTACATGAACAATGGACTGGTGTTGATCCTTTCTATAGCTGTTATGTCACGTATTGTGGTAGTTGGTTGTTACATGAACAATGGACTGGCGTTGATCCTTTCTATAGCTGTTATGTCACGTATTGTGGTAGTTGGTTGTTACATGAAGTGTGGACTGGTGTTGATCCTTTCTATAGCTGTTATATTACCATTGTGGTAGTTGTTTGTTACATGAAGAGTGGACTGGTGTTGATCCTTTCTATAGCTGTTATGTCACCATTGTGGTAGTTGTTTGTTACATGAAAGTGGACTGGTGTTGATCCTTTCTAAAGCTGTTATGTCACCATTGTGGTAGTTGTTTGTTACATGAATGTGGACTGGTGTTGATCCTTTCTATAGCTGTTATATTACCATTTTGGTAGTTGTTTGTTATGTGGAGAATGGACTGGTGTTGATCCTTTCTATAGCTGTTATGTTACCATTTTGGTAGTTGTTTGTTACATGAAGAGTGGACTGGTGTTGATCCTTTCTAAAGCTGTTATGTTACCATTTTGGTAGTTGTTTATTACATGAACAGTGGAATGGTGTTGATCCTTTCTAAAGCTGTTTCCATTGTGGTAGTTGTTTGTTACATGAACAGTGGACTGGTGTTGATCCTTTCTAAAGCTGTTATCATTGTGGGAGTTGGTTGTTACTTGAAGAGTGGACTGGTGTTGATCCTTTCTAAAGATGTTATCATTGTGATGGTTGTTACAATGAAGAATGGACTGGTGTTGATCCTTTCTATAGCTGTTATGTTACCATTTTGGTAGTTGTTTGTTACATGAAGTGTGGACTGGTGTTGATCCTTTCTATAGCTGTTATGTTACCATTTTGGTAGTTGTTTGTTACATGAAGAGTGGACTGGTGTTGATCCTTTCTAAAGCTGTTATGTTATCATTGTGGTAGTTGTTTGTTACATGAAGAGTGGACTGGTGTTGATCCTTTATAAAGATGTTATGTCACCATTGTGGTAGTTGTTTGTTACATGAAGAGTGGACTGGTGTTGATCCTTTCTAAAGATGTTATGTCACCATTGTGGTAGTTGTTTGTTACATGAAGAGTGGACTGGTGTTGATTCTTTCTAAAGCTGTTATGTCACCATTGTGGTAGTTGGTTGCTACATGAAGAGTGGATTGGTGTTGATTCTTTCTAAAGCTGTTATGTCACCATTTTTGTAGTTGGTTGCTACATGAAGTGTGGATTGGTGTTGATCTTTTCTACTACATGTATATGACACTGATATTCTATGTTGTTAATTTTTATCAATGTTGTAGTGATGCACGAATTTCGGAACTTTTACACAGCTCATGTTTTGATGTTTATCTTTTTGTATCGCCCCAATCATTATTTAGCATAATGGTACCTACACAGCCAATCAAGTGAAAACTTGCATTGTATGAATGTCGCTGAACAGGAAAGTTTGTTTATTATTTATTAAGTTAATGTTTCTTATGCCCATGAGCCTTAAATAAAAAAAATACATTAACTTTGACTGTGCTTTTTGTCAATGTTTTATTGTTCTCAATGTGTATGTGTATTGTTACTTTAAACCTACTTGTGTACTGTGTTTTCATCACCAATCATAATGAAATACACTTCTTGAGTTAAGTATGAAGACATAGTTTTGGCTTCATTGATTAATGTTTTATAGTTCTTGTTTTTTTAGATGATTCTCCAGAACAGAAGTGCACATTCAGATCGACCTCGTGGTTCTGGGGAAAAACTAAGATGTCAATATCCACAGATTGAACCATCACAGACAGGTTGGTGATCATGTACGAAGTAACTATTGATGAGACCTTAAAATATATATGATTTGTTGTTATTAAACCACTTCAGTTTCTAAAGTATATGTTGTCAAGTTATGTGACTTGTCATGTGTTATATATGTGATTTGTTGGTATTAAACCACTTCAGTTTCTAATGTATATGTTATCAAGTTATGTGACTTGTCATGTGTTATATATGATTTGTTGGTATTAAACCACTTCAGTTTCTAATGTATATGTTGTCAAGTTATGTGACTTGTCATGTGTTATATATGATTTGTTGATATTAACCCACTTCAGTTTCTAATGTATATGTTATCAAGTTATGTGACTTGTCATGTGTTATATATAATTTGTTGGTATTAAACCACTTCAGTTTCTAATGTATATGTTATCAAGTTATGTGACTTGTCATGTGTTATATATGATTTGTTGGTATTAAACCACTTCAGTTTCTAATGTATATGTTATCAAGTTATGTGACTTGTCATGTACACACATAAGTTATATTTTTCTTTGTGCTGCTGATGTTGGTACAGAGATCCTTGATAAGCAATGTGCTGTTATTAAAATTCACATTGTTTTGTAAGTAATTCCTAGTGTAATTTAATTTTTTGCAAGTGATTTCTATTGTAAGTTACTTTTATAGAAATTATTTGTAGTGTAAGTTATTTGTGGTGGTGGAAGTTACTTGTGTAAGTTATTTGTGATGTAAGTAACTCGTAGTGTAAATTGTTTGTTGTGTACATTTTTAAAGTTATTTGTGATGTAAATAACTCGTAGTGTAAGCTATTTGTTGTGTACATTTTTTAAGTTATTTGTGATGTAAGTAACTCGTTGTATAAGTTATTTGTGATGTAAGTAACTCGTAGTGTAAGTTGTTTGTTGTGTACATTTTTAAGTTATATGTGATGTAAATAACTCGTAGTGTAAGCTATTTGTGAAGTAAGTAACTCGTAGTGTAAGTTGTTTGTTGTGTACATTTTTTAAGTTATATGTGATGTAAGTAACTCGTGGTGTAAGCTATTTGTGATGTAAGTAACTCGTAGTGTAAGCTATTTGTTGTGTACATTTTAAGTTATTTGTGATGTAAGTAACTCGTAGTGTAGTTATTTGTGAAGTAAGTAACTCGTAGTGTAAGCTATTTGTGATGTAAGTAACTCGTAGTGTAAGCTATTTGTTGTGTACATTTTTTAAGTTATTTGTGATGTAAGTAACTCGTAGTGTAGTTATTTGTGATGTAAGTAACTCGTAGTGTAAGTTATATGTGATGTAAATAACTCTTAGTGCAAGTTATTTGTGATGTAAGTAACTCGTAGTGTAAGTTGTTTGTTGTGTACATTTTTTAAGTTATATGTGATTTAAGTAACTCTTAGTGCAAGTTATTTGTGATTTAAGTAACTCGTTGTATAAGTAGTTTGTTGTACAAGTAATTTGTAGTACATCTTATATGCCAAAGACCTTGTTTCATTTGATGTGATATGAAATGTTTACAACTATTCAAGATTTTCGTAAGGTTGACATGCTAAATGTTTTACTGACACGTCACACAACAACAACAACAACAGGTAGTTTTAGTTATTTATTATTTGAAGGCATTTGTTTCTTAGGCACATCATTCTAGTAACTGCTGAAATTCTTATTTAACATTTATCTTTGTTTTCTTCAAAGGAAGATGTGTTCCAACACTATATAAACAGAAGAGCCATGAGAATATCCGAACATCAGTTGTACATGTAAGTTTTCCTGAATTTTATATTGAAGTATAAACAGAAGAGCCATGAGAATATCCGAACATCAGTTGTACATGTAAGTTTTCCTGAATTTTATATTGAAATATAAACAGAAGAGCCATGAGAATATCCGAACATCAGTTGTACATGTAAGTTTTCCTGAATTTTATATTGAAATATAA